TCTTACACCCACTGAATCAAATCCTCCTGATGTGATCTCGTCTGCCTGCGCATATATTTTCTCTTTTAACTCTGATCACCTGCAAATATGACCAGAGACCGAGAGCCTCGCATGTGCGTGACTCATTGCTGCCTATGAGGAGAACCTTCAGTTCTTATGTGTGCATTTGAAGAAAACGGGCTGGGTTCATGACTTGATGAATATAATAAGAGAGATGGAAAGAATCATGTGCCGTCTGAAAAATGAAAGATGCGTTGTCATGACAATGGCGGGAAAGCTGTCAATCTTAAGGAAATTTACACAATGGATAAGTTTCCTTTGGGAAATTTCTCGGCCTTCCAAAAGCGATGAGACAACCGGATGCATACAGACCGGCTCACACAGCCGCCACCAAAGCCTTGTGATTCCCTGCAACCACTGCCACGCACCCGCCAAAAGTGAATTTATGACTTCGTTAAGCCCTTTGAAGGCGGCAACAGCTTGCCAGTAAAATGATTGTTAGTCATAGAAGAAGTCATAAATCAAAACTGGCCCGGGTTTGTCATTATCTATTAATACTCTGCGGCTCTCGTTTGGGAGTTCTAGAAACAGCCAGAGCTTGTGCGTTCACGCCGTCTCCCAAAAAATGGCAAGATTTCCCGAGGAAGATGGAGGGAAAAGACGTCTCTTCAAAGTTTGCTCAGCTTGTGATTGATTTGCTCGTCCCTCCGGAGGTGGAACAGCGCTGAGTGGCTTATTTGAGCCGAACGCACGGAGCTCAAACGCTGCAGGCAGAAAAAAACCCACACAATTAGAAAGGACTAATGACGTGGGGTATCGCCCCTTTTTTTCTCCAAATAACCCGCAGGGATTTCCATTTTTAGTATCACTAAGTCTTAATTAGTGATTAGGAAGATGAAATGGAGCATTCAGCCGAAACTGAGTGTTTTCACACGAGCCATTTCTCTCTCACTGTCCGCATCTTTCCGCTAAAATACAAAAGGTGGATTTATATAGGTCATTATTTGGATTTGTGTTTGAAGATCTTCTTCGTTGCTGTAATTATTAATAAAAAAAACACGTCTTGTCTTTTCAGAGCCACGATGATATGCATGTCATCCACAACAATCAACTGGGTAAGTCTTTTTTCAAATTTCAGTACTAGAGAAGTAAGAAAGTCAGAAGAAGGAATTGATAAATGGGTAAAGCTTTAGATTACAGCCCATTCAGTGTAAATATTCTGCGCGTGGATTGAAATAGTTACTGAAACCCGAGGAATAGGGATTCACAAATAATCATTTAGCAGGAACACTGAAATTATAATTATTTTGGTACTTTTTTATCACCCGTTACATAATAATAACCAGGTGCATAAAGGAAACCAACGGCCCTAACCTTTGTTTTATGTTAGCAATAGCTATAGGAGCCATGTATTGAAAATTGATATAAAATCTGACTATAAAATATCTCCGGTTCTTTCCTGGGCAAATTTCTTGCCCATTTCAGCTTGGACCGTCAGATGTATTATAACCCAAAACTACCACTGCGCATTTCATTCTAAATACGGTTTTATAGCTGCAGCTATATACATCTTTCAATAATGTAGCCGACACCATTTCACGAACAACATGAAGCTTGAATGTTATTCTAAGTAGAGTAAATTTGCTTAAGTTATCGCCATGTTTGATGCCGAGTAAGTATGTGACTGGACACTGGTTACATTGGGATTTTATAAGCTGCTGTATGTATTCTTGAATCTATATACTTATTTCCATAAATGACTTGGCTGCAGAGTGTTTAAAGCTGCTATTCGCAGTACGGCTCATATTCTGGACTCTGTTTTTGTGTTTGAATGTTGTAAAGGGTGAACTTTGAATAGCACACACTAATTCCTTAAATTGGTGAAGGGGCTTTTATGTGATGCCTGCCTTGAAAAGCGGAATCTTGCGAGTTGCTCAGATTTTTCCACCAAAGTGCTCTCATCTCTTCATCGATTTGACAGCAACCATACATTTCCTAAGTAGAGCAAATAAAAAGATCTCATCATGCATGACTCTCGTGCCACGCCGGGCTCACACGATCAACCATCACAGAGGGATTTCCGCGACCATGCAAAGGAGTTTGGAGCCAGTTTACTGGACCTCTGCCTGTTGTTCATTCAACTGGGTCAGAGAAGGCGCGAGAGCTCACAAAAGCAACTTCATAATGCTCTCATTTGGCACCTCTGCACAGAGAGGAAATGCAAACAGACAGCCATCTGAAAAACAGAGCTTTGCTATCTGGCACCGCCGTAGTTATTCCCTTTGTCGCCCCACAGAAAAACCGCTACACTCGCATACAGAGAATATTGTTTGCTTGAAGGAATTCAGATGATGCATAAATGAAAGTCTGGCTCTCTGATGTTTTAACAATACTGCAACAGACATTTTAAAGCAACCGGTGACCTTTTGGAAGGTATTGGAAGTAATGATTAGAACAGTAGTGTGTGAGAGGAAATGCAAGGGGACATATCTCCATGGACTGTTGTCTCAATTATGTCTGAACAAAAGCAGGCATTATATCCAGGTATCTACTGCAAATCTACATGATCACATTAAAAGAAGCAGTGGGACTCCTCAACGTCTATTGTGCCGTTGTGTTTTTAAAAGTGCAACGTCGTACACGTCCGATACAGAACTACAGAAAAGCTTCAGGGAAAAGAGAGACAATATATATTTTCAAATACGGGTAATGTGAAAATGTCCTCCATAAGTGCCTCGGCCCACAAGTCCCCACTGAATGTAACGTAATCTCACAATCAATTTTCTAGGCATGGTATTGTGGGTTCACAGTTTGCAGCGTAAATGTTAGCTGACAGGAGCATTTTTATTCAATTGGCAATTAAAATTAATTCATGAATATAAAATATATCTCCCTTTTTTTTCTTCTTTTTGTGTTCTTGTCTCAATCTATTCATGTTAAAGTATGAAAAGAAATAGTCTGCTCTATCAAATAAACAATAGACATAATAACACAAATCCTACAGGGCCTATTCATGTCCATCCCGATCAATTTAGTAATTTCCCTTGATTTTTAGACTACGAAGAAGAAGATAAAATTACGTCTTGCATGCGACGGCTCGGTGGAGCGGCGGTCGCAGCAATGAAATGCTTGAAAAAATCAACATGTTATGAGTCTGTTTCAGATCACGCCCTGTGTTCCAACTTACTGCTCCGCCACACAAAATGAAGAAATGCATTTGGATTGAAGTAGCTGTAAAAAAAGAAAAAAGAAAAAAGGAAAAGGTCTAGTTTCATCCTGATTCAGACGCTTTGATGTATTGTCTGTCAAGCTCCGCTCTTTCTGTAAGTAGATGTGAGGCAATAATGTGCTCATCTAGAGGAGGTTGTTTTGACTGAAATCCAGTTAGCTTTTCACCCGGACCTCAGTAATGACTTACTTGACTATTGATCCGATGTCCTATTCTGTACCTAAACTTAGGCAATCAATGTATTTTTTTTCCTTTTAAATTTGAATTTAAAAAGTCAAAAAAGCAGACTTGCAAGTTTGGATCCGATATAGTTGCCGTCGTCATCAATATTTCATATTGCAGGAAACCTGAATACAGACACCATGAAGCTAGATGTACTTTCTCTACTGTCTCCTAGAAATAAGACTCACTTCGTTGCCTTTGAATGAATATTCTAGCAACAATGTTCTTGTGCCTTTACGCCAACGACTGCTCCTCAGAGAACCCGACTGTCAAACTCCTGAAGTTCACAGACGACACAACGTCCATCGGCCTCATCAGGGACGGAGATGAGTAGACGTGCACACCTGATATTAACCAGCTGGTCCTCTAGCGTGGTGAATCTCAGAACTGTGAAGGTTACAGTGGACTTCAGGAGGAGCTCTCCAACACTGCCCCCCTTCACCATACTCTACACATTGTGTCTTCTGTGGAGACCTTCATGTCTCTGGGATCCCAAATCTCTCACCTGAAGTGGGCCTCCAACATTGACCCATTCAGGAAGAAGGTCCAGGACAGGTTGAACTTCCTGCGCCAGCTCCTGGTCTTCTTGTTCTACTCCGCCATCATCCAGTCTGCTCTCTGTTCTTCCATCACTGTGTGGTTTGGATCGGCCACGAAACAGGACAGCAACAGACTGCAGTGGCCTAAACCTCCATCCTGGACTCGTACACCTCCAGTCAAGAAACAGGAAGGAACGATCACTGCAGACCCTTTACACCCTGGACACAACTTGTATATTTACTAGAGTTGTTAAATGTGTCTATATTTGAATCCATTGTACTGTTTATGTTGTCTTCTACTTTTTAATTTTCTTGTCGATTTATATTTATGTGCAAACCGCAGTTAAACTCCGGGTATGTGTAAGCATACGTGGCCAAAAAGCTAATTCTCTTTCTCACTTTAACATGAGACTAACCTTAACAGCTTTTCTTACATAACTACCACACACTTGCCCTTTTCTCATCCTTTTTTTTTTTTTTGCAATCTTGAGCATGCAACCCGTCTATTGGGTTGCATGCTCTTTCCTTTCTGGCTGTCCCCTCTCTCCTATTTTCTTCTCTCTGTTTACTGAGAGATATTTATGACACTGACTTTTTGGTAGTAAGCTGAAAGTTAAATACACCATGTTCGCTATTGATCGTGTGCAAGGCAATTCAACTTCTTCATTAATATGAGAAGAAGGCTTAGAAAACCGTTTCACTTGCACCTGCAAGACACATCCGCCTCTGTCACGCAGTGTGATTGCCTATACAGAAGGTAAATTCATTTTAATTTTATATGTTTTATATGTTATGTATTATGTTTAACTATTTAATAGTATTTATCTACTATTTATCTGTTTTAGACGCATCACAAATATAATTTATATCACAGTCTGCGTAAAACTACCTCCCAAATCTGAGATGCAGTAAATTGAGAAAGCAGTTTGGTTGTACGGAAACATGATTTTTTTAGGAGACAGGGTTGAATTTGGTCTTCCAGATTGAATGTGGTCAGCTGGCTGGGGATTGGCTGTAAAAAACCCCGGCGCTGTCTGCTGTGACGGTCATGCTTAGTTTGGTCAGGAAACTGCAATCCAATTCCCCTCCATGTAGCACGTCTGTTGGACGGCTCGGATGGAACGCGACGAAGAGCGAATTGGGGGTTGGGGCAGTTTTTACAAAAAGGATGATGCTGGGCCATCTCGGCACCGCGAGTACAATAATGTGAATCACTGGAGCCTGGCAGCTTTTACACCAGCACAATCAGCCGCTGGTTGAGGAAGTGGGGCCCGTTGACTATGGAAATGAGCTATCGACGTCCTCTGTCATCTCTGAATACATGCTGCCGATGAAGAGCTCCGGATCCGTCATGGCGCTGTCGTTGTTCCCACAGCAGCCTGATGGCCCCTCTCGGCAAACGGTATCCCTCCATACTTTGCCAGACGTTTGTCATTGAAATTGCAAATCGACCGCTCGTCTCCTCCTTTTTTCCTTTTAGAATCCTCGGCATTTTTTTGTCTTGCTCCAGGCTGAGAGCAAACACTCCTGTGGCCGCTGTGGTGACCAGACATACCTGCTCTCTGACACGGATGGAGATGACAGAGCTCCAGGAGGGCCTGGAGGTCAGCGTGCTCTCCGCTCTCCTGCCGCTTGGAAACTTCTGTCCGTATCGCTTAGAGTCACTGAGGGAACCAGAACACTGCGCAAGCTCCGTTCAGGTCCAGATATTTACTTCAATCTCCCGCCAAGAAGTGCAAACAAGCATTTCAATTTTGTCATCGTCGGGTATTCCATCAGTCTGATTCTCTGCCCTCTTGTAGGCGGAAGAGCCTTCGCACAAGGTTGCCATGGACCAGGCGGTGATGGCCTTTGTAAAGGCGGGGGGGCTTCAAATCAGGGAGAGAATGAGGCATTGCTCTCCTGTGTCTCATTTCGTCCAATGTATTTCAAGGCTGATAGTCTTTCTTTTCGGCGGAGTGTCCCTTGTGAACTACTGAAGGGGTAAGGGGAGGCAAACGAACACTTGTCTCATGCTTTCTAGTTCCATCAGCCCGGCGAAATAACATCATCTGCTCCAATGCGATGGGGGGCTATAGCTTCTCCTTTCCAGTAACCTTCAATCTCTTTCATTTGAAGCATATTGTTTTCAGCCAAAAAGCATCTTTGTAAAAATTCACTTTTCAATTCCAGCAAACTCCTTTTGAAAGTTTAATATCATTCAATACCACTATCATTATTTTTGTTTTGTTAGATTTTATGGTCATAGTGTTGTTTTTCAAAGCACTTTGGGTTCTACATTAAATGTGCTATATAAGTAAAATTGTTTATGCAAGCATGAAAAGAAAACGCTACTTCAAGGCCCCAGGATCCCTGTAAATATCACTGCAAAACAAGCAGCTTTCCTCTGTATCTCAGTGGGGAAAAAGCAGCTGAAACCCCCTCAAACTCAAAGGTATTTGTTTAACTTTTTTTTCTTCCTATATATGCATTTTATTATTTTCTTTAGTCCCCAAGTTGTTTAATTGTCAATTAAGTACTGAAGAAGCAGCACCTGGAAGTACGGGGAATGCTGGTGGTTGGAAATCCTAAGAAGCATCCAAGTGAACCAAAACTTGTCAGACAGAGGAAGGAGTTATATTTAGTACATAGTAAGAAAATCCAATCTCGAGAGGGAAGAGCATTAAGCTCACCTGCAGGCATACGTCTTAAACCAGAGTAATTACTCTCACGGTCCGGATAGGCGAGACAAAAGTTCAGCAAACACAGGAAAGTATTCTCTAGTGAGCTGCCTCGCCCTTTGAAAAGTCAGAAGGCCGTGTTCCCATGGTGTGAAAGCGGAGACACGGACCCACCCAAAGACCTTACAACTGTGAACATTAGGAGCACCATCGCACCATGCAACGATGTGGCAATCACCTAGCAACCGTCTACCAACGCCCGGGGGACAACGGCATATGTCCTTAACGGCGAGCGACACACACAGTGTACCACATGTCTTCAGGCCGGAGGCATCCGTTAATGGCCTCACCAATACCCGTAAAAAAATAATTAATGGCACCAAAGACGTTGGTTTTTTTTGCCTTCATGTAAATATAGGTAGACGTATTGAATGCATAATTGTAATTTAGCCCGGAGTGTCAAGAGGGTGAAATAAAGGTGACTTTTACCTGATCGCAGGACAAAGGAATGATGGAGGTGAGGGAAAGTGATCTAACAGGATTCTTTCCCTTTCGCCCCGTTGTCTGATGATTAATCGAAAGCCATTAGTGGGAAGACGAGGCCGGTCTTAATTAGTTTCTTTTTGTTTTCCGCTTCACCCCCTGGTTCTCCTTCGCTTTGGCATAGGGTGAACGCGTTATCTGCACAATGAGCGGATTGGCAACCTGTTATCTGATTTCGCTGTTGGTCTCTTGCAGCTGGCGTTACTGCTGAACTGTGCAGTATCAGGAATGCTGGTACCACACCTGGGGCTTAAGAAGGCACTGCTTTATGTGACACCAGATGCACACACACGTCCGCGCACACCAGCCCGCATAGTCAGTCATCCAGCCTACTCAGCAGAAGGACATTTAGAGGTGGTGTAGGGTACTCACTCCCTAAGCTCCGCTCTCATCTGTTGGGAGATAGGCATGCTGAGATTTAGTAAGTAACCCCCCTCCCTCCCCTTATCGGGGCCACAGGATCAACGGGAGCTTTGTTATGAGCAGAGCAATCGGAGCAACACACCCACCACCATTAATTAAAAAGATCGGACACAGATACCGTAGCCTGACATAGTGTCCACGCCGCGACCCCCGCTGATATTATCTGAACCCGTGGAATAGGTTCAAGTTGTGGGATCGAGGAGGAGGAGGCAATCCATCTCACCCCGCCATTATCGGCACTCGCCCGTCCCCTTTTCCCCCGCGCCGCTTTCGCACTATTCCACTGGGAGGATTGTAGACCAGTCAGCAGCGGCTGTTACTTGTTTATGTTTTGGAAACACAGACAAACAAGTCATCAGCACATTTTGCAGAGCGTCATGGGAAAAAAGTCCATCTGGTAATCCTAATGACATGGTCCACCCTTAATGACTGTATCCTGTACAAATACTTAAGCAGCTAATTAAAATGTCGAGGGAGAATTATTTTGGAACAGAGCTTGTTATGTTTGTCACACAGGAATCTCAGCACATCTCGTTACCGGGGAGGTTTGTGAGCTGCCTGTCGTAGCCGGAAAGAGCCTCAAACACGCGTTCGCCTCGCAACCGCTCGGCTTTAAACTCTCGAAAAGGCTTCTTTTTTTTCTGTTGTCGTGGTCATTCCAGCCAGGTGCTGCAGACGTCTTGTGAGGGACAGCTTATAGGATTTAGGAGTTGTCAAATGTAATTGTACTGACCCCCCCCTCCATTGGTTTGGACAATGTCATTCTTCACTGAGCTGTGTCACTGTCACCCTTTGAATGGATTTCACATGAAGAGGAACTGCAGCCTTCCCGGGTCAGTGACAGAGATGCTATGTTAACGGGTTGTCGAAGCCGTGTTTTTAAACAGACATCGTTTAGTAGGCGGCTCCCTGTTGACCTTGGCCTTAATAATGCAGAGTTCTACTGACGGCACTGGACGGCCGGGCCGTGTCAGGCTTTTGGGCGTCGCCGCACCTCAGAGAGACTCTTCCGACTGCTAATCTTTTTTTAAGTAACACGGTTCGGGCCGTGACATTTATAAACTCTCCCCTGAAGCCAATTAAGCTCTTTATGCGCTAGTTATTATCACCAGGCCAATAATGGAGATTAGCAAAACCACCTCAGCTATTCAGCCCACGGCTCTTATCTTGTCTTGCACTCAGAAGGTCATCGATTGCCATGATCCTTTTTTTCACAGCATGTGAGCAGTCTCACATATCCTTCCTTTGTGTCCTCCCCTCCTCTGTCCCCGCTCCCTCCACAGACCTGCGGGAGATAGTGTTCGTCATCCAGAGTCAAAGCAACTCCTTCCATGTGAGGCAGGCAGAAAGACGGAGAGCAGACTTACTGAAGCAGGCGCACAGTCTCGCCGAGGTAAGAATCAAGACACCTTCCACTCATGCACGCCTGCCCTTATTTTGGCAAAAAAGGAAGCTCACATGAAAGCTTGCGTGCCTTTATGAAGAGATATTTAACTAATGAGCCTCACCAGTAGCAGAAGTGGCATCATTCATGCCGGAGAAAGTAAACCAGATTTCACTTCACTACTACCCAAAACTGATCATTTTGAATATTTACTGGTAGTAATAAGAATTATTCATGATGATGCCCTCGTTTAAACATCTTCCGGAATGAGGAATCATTTGTTGCCAAAATATGTCAAACATACAAGGAATTTGTCTTGGCGGTTGGTGCGTGACAGTAGACAGTGTAACAATGACAACAATACAGCAGTGCACAAGTAATAAAATAAAGTAAAATGAAATACTATTGCAATGGATTAGTAGAATAAGGCTATGGGTTAGTATAAAACAAGAGAATCAAGTTAGAGTTAAAAATTAAAAATATTAAGCATAAAGTGCACTATCGAACAAGTGACAAAGTGACGAGTGACGACAAAGTGAAAAATTATAGTCAAAGTGACATGTGCAGTGCGAAGGGGAGTGACCGGTGGAATGTTATAGTCAGTCAGTGGGGGACCGGGCTCTGTTGATGAGCCCGACTGCCGACGGGAAGAAACGGTTTGTGTGGCGGGAGGTCTTAGTCCTGATGGACCTCAGCCTCCTGCCAGATGGAAGGGGCACAAACAGTTTTTGGCTCTTGGCCGTGGCTGCAGCGTACCAGACGGTGATGGAGGAGCAGAGGATGGACTCGATGATGGCCGTGTAGAAGTGGACCATCATCGTCTTTGGCAGGTTGAATTTCTTCAGCTGCCTCAAGAAGAACAACCTCTGCTGAGCCTTCTTTGTGATGGAGCTGATGTTCAGGTCCCACTTGAGGTCCTGGGTGATGATGGAGCCCAGGAAACGGAAGGAATTCACAATAGTGATGGGGGAGTCACACAGGTTGATGGGGGAGGGTGGGGCTCTGTTCCGCCGTAAATCCACAACCATCTCCACTGTCTTTAGAGCGTTGAGCTCCAGGTTGTTCTGGCTGCACCAGGACACCAGATAGTCAGACTCCCACCTGTAGGCGGACTCGTCCCCACCAGAGATTAGTCCAATGAGGGTGGTGTCATCAACAAACTTCAGGAGCTTGACGGGCTGGTGACTGGAGGTGCAGCTGTTGGTGTACAGGGAGAAGAGCAGAGGGGAAAAGTGCACAATATGAAAGTATAGTTTGTAGAAATATGCATGTATTTAGTAAATCCAGACATTAGTGCAGCCTTGATGTTCCCGGCCTCTTCTCGCTAAATTTTTAATGAGAAGCGATCACCATCCAAAGGCAAATCTTCATTCATTTAAAAAATATTTAAACTGCTGATTGTAATTCAGATATTAAAACTTTGCAGGAAAGAGAACCTATATTTTCTCCCGAGACGTCAGTTTAGTATTTTGTGTAATTTGTAAAACATCAGTAAAGACCTCAGAAACATGTCAGAGGAAAACACAGAGGCCATTTTCAGGTTGAAATGTCAATTCACTTCTGCTCCTTAAACCCCTTCAGAGCCAAATGAAATGGGCTGAAATACCAGAGTCGTATTCCGTTTGGTTAAGTAGTGAATGCAGCATCACTAATGACAATGTTACAGTAAATTAGATGAAGGGACTGCTCGCTCTGTTAGCTGCAGCAAGAGACCGATTTAGATCTCCTTTTTGGGTTCATACTTCTGTTGTCTTGTATTTGTTGTCTCAGTCTCCACTTCTTCTGTACGTCAAACACCTTTATCTTCACGACTGACTGGAGTGTACCAAACTGAAAAACATACAACAGAAATAATCAGTCATTATTTCTCTGTTAAATGTTGTCGTGTTTGAATTATTAGTATAGTATTGTATAAATCTATCTATCATCATTCAAATATTCTTAAAAACAACAGTGAAACCCTTTAATCCACCTTCAGCAACACAAAGTCCACAATACATGCATTATTTGCATTACAATTCATAGATTGTTTCATGTTCCCTGCAATGAATAGTGGCATCAGTCTGTGCCAAAGGATGTTATTTATCATGAAGGGATTCAGTTAGACTAATGGACGTCACGTTTTACAAGAAGAGACAGACTTTATGAATACCACATCATGTGTTTGCATTCATGATCTCAGAGATGTCTGGTGTTTTAGTGTCTCTGGCATTCAATTACACAAACTAAGTCCAGGCAGAATTTTAATCAGCGACTTCTAAAAGAATCAGTAAAGAATCAGTGGAGGTCTGACAGCTTTTCAAAGAGAAATAATAGCCAAAGATTTGTGAAGTTAACATGTGGAATTTCTTTCTCAAAATCAGAATGAAAATGCGTTTATCCTCAGGTGGACAAAGTACTCAGATGTACATGACGTGCTTCCAATTACAATTCATTCATTTTAATTGAATTTGGTTCCAGATCTGTATTGAAGATCATCCAATTCTATTAAAATTATAGAAAATATTAACATCTATATACCGTTTAAAAGGCCAAAAGGAATACTGAATACAAATAGTGAGTGGTAGAGAAGAAAAGAGTAGAATAACACCTCATTTCCCTTTTCTAATTGGCTTATATGCTTATGTATTGTTGTAATGTATTACACATTACACAACAGTTAAAAAATGTGTAGTCAAAATACCACTAATATCTATTTGTCATTCATTATCCAATTAATTGTTTAATTATGCTGTGTAGTATTTTATTCATTCATTTAATGTTTTTAATTCATTCATTTTGTATGATAGTTTATGATTTAAATACAGTAGTTTATGAAAAGGAAATGTTTTGCTAAACAAGTGATGTCAAATAATCATGAGTCCAGACCAAAAGCTTTCTCGTTTCATTGACCATGACCAAACTCAACACCATACTTTAATAACCATAACTGTCTTTTCAGTTTTAAATATGTTTAGAACAGACCGCAAAGTGACTTTGTTCCAAGTTCTTAGTTTGTAGAGACAAGGATACGTTGAAGATTCTGGATGTGATCACTGCACCGCCAAGAAGGGAAACACATGTACTTTGTCTTTTTACCTCCGAGCCGTTTTCATCCTCCTCTGACCGTCAAATGGTTCTGTGATGTCCACAGATTTACACAGACAGTAACTTGTGTATTCTACGTGGCGGCTCTATAAGCCCATTTTCTCACAGTTCAACACTGTGCCTTGTGGGAGGAATTCACATTACATTTATACAGTGTTCATGTCCACCGAGATGCACACGTACAACAGAATGAGGTTAAACTCAGGGACCTCGCGCTCTGTGGTGAAAACACACCACGCGTCCAAAAGCCTTCCTCTGCATCACCTATTATCTTAACAATTTCTGCATCGAAAGTGCCACCGGGATGGAAATAATTGAATCTGGCTCCGCGTTCTCCAGTCAGTGATTTGGCCCTCGTCCACCGTTATCATCTTTGACTGCATCCCGCCACTGAAGAGGTTTCGACAGGTGGCTTTCTGCAGTCCGCCTGCAGCACTTCCTGTGGATGAGAGCTTCCCGTCAGCCCATTACCACCGGGTCTCAATGACCCCGATCTTCTCCCAAGTCACCGAGCCATCACTGTTCCATTCGTTGTGAGCGCGAGTTCTTATCTGTCGAAGGAGTCTGCAGCTTCTCCCACTGCGTCCATCTCTTATTGAACGCTTCACTCATCACAGGAACGTCATTAACCCTCCGAAGCAAAAGCTTTGTTTTTGTGATCGCATTATTAGCTGAATATGATGCTTTTTTCAGTATTTTTCTATTGCGCTGATTCAATATATTAACTGAGATGACCTCAACATCAAGGAGAGCGCAGTTTCATAAAAGAAGGTAGGTATTGTTATCAGACTACCTAGCATAATCTCATATTAGCTGAGAGCTAACTAACTAATGGGGTTGAATTGGGGTGAATCAGGCAGGCTGCTGTTAGACTTTGTGCACGGCGAGTGGACCACGCAGTAATGAACCTCGGGCTCTCGCGCTCCGCTGCTTTGTTTCCCTCAAAGTGAGAAACATTGGCTTTCTGCAACAATACGCACATGGTCTCGCCGTCCTCACGGCGGGCAATTTGGGCGAAACAGATTGCTCTTACGTGGATGCAATTGTGTGCTGTATTGTCCACATCCTAAAACATCCTCTTCTTTTTTCCATTACTATCGTCCTACAGTTTATTGCTTAGCGTGAGGGCAAGCAGGATCAGCGGATCCCTGAAGGCAAAGTGGGATTGAAGGCATAATACCACTTTATCTCCTTAAAAGATACAGATTTTAATTATTCTATATTTTCTTGTTGTCAACCAATCACATGGAAGGACGAAACCAAGCGAAACCTAAGGGAAGCCAAGGTCAGACTATACAATATGAGCCTGATTGGATAGACGCTGGGAATGAAAATTATGTAAACGTGTGATACGTGGCTATATGGCTTAAATTGACTTTATTGTAATAGCCTTGTACTTTGAAATGATCGTAAGTGTTATTCTTTCTCTTCATGGAATTCACTTTGTTCTCTCTCTCTCTTTAAGAGGCTTTGGTGGATGGAAGTTCAGTAAAGAGTCCCTTAGATCAGGGACATTGGATTCAGCTTATATAGTTTATTGCGGGATATCCACAGCTATTCCACTAATGGCATTTCTGTAAAAAAAAATGGCCGCCAATGGACTATGAATTATTGCAGGTTTAGTGTTATTCATTAAAGTGTGATTACATATGTAAATAGAGGCCAGTGTCCTGGTAATGAAGGAAAGTGTCAGTGCATTAACAACTGCAATGAGGAGCTGTGCCACATCGGCCTTTAAATATATGTATGACTTGCAACTTTGCCATCTGTGTTCATTACCGTCAACATTACACAATAGTGCTTGTTCCAATCGCATTACCATACAGTGATAATGTAACATTAGCAAATAGAACGACAGCCGTGGGGTTCACTGAGATGAATTAAAAAACTCAAGTAAGTTTTAGCAGCCAATATTCCTCAAATATATTTTCATACAGACAAGAATATGAGACTCCGTGGCTACGGAGAGAAGTATAAATTATATTAACGAATGCGAACCAAACCAGCCTGCAAAGTGGTTGGCTTAAATGTGGAGTATAATAACTGGATTTGCAATAAATGGGCTAAAACTCCATCTTGACTGTGCCCATCCCATTTAGAGGACTGTCTGAACACCAGCGCACCCTTGGGTCCCTTTGTTGAAAAAAAGCTGCTTTATCTGATTTGTGTAGCTGTTGAGTTAATAAACAAACCTGCATCTCTGTCTTTGTGGTGCTTTTTTTCAGAAACCACCGGTGGTTTTGCTCTCTCACACCTTATCAGATCACGAAGGAGACTGGAGCATCCTTCCTCTGCTGCCCAAGTAAGTCTCCCCGAGCTGTCATTAACCAAAGATGTCAGGGTTACAAATGCAGACAAAATATTCAACACCCTCTGTCTTACTTCAGTTGACATTTTTGGAGGTTAATTTCTGGTTTTGAGGTCCGTTTGTTAGCCACATTGGAAGGCTACGAATTGCAGAGAAGCCATTACCGACACAATAACCTTGATAGATTGCCTCACATCATAATGAATGCCTTCGTAATGTGTCTATAACTGCAACAATAAGCCAGTGGTCCGAACAGCACGACTATGACATTAGTTCCAGGCGTCTATATGCTTTGGCCTTCTCAAAAAGCCGATATGGGTTCAATAATTGTTTTTGACGAGATGTGAAATAACATCCGAATCCGTTTTCTTCCTCCATCATGAAGATTTGGGACATAGATCACCAGAAGCACCCTGAATAATTACGGAGCTGCCCTCACTGAATGGAGTCTGTGTGCTTTTGAAGTTGTTTTGTCTTTCTGCCCTTGGGGGAGAACTGTGTGGCTGCCTTGATCTGATTGGGTCAGGAGCCTCAGTTAGATTCTTTAGAATGGTCTGAAATAACAGAAACGGCTTTGCCTAGATTTTGCTTGTGCGTGTCAGTGTTCCATTTATTATTGTTTAACTCTTCTTTTGCCGATACCTTTTTTTTAGCTTATCGTACTCCTTTGGGAAAAACTCCTCATGGTTTGTATTCCTTGAGGAGGAAACCCATGTGAAGCTGACTAAGCTGGTTGAAGTCCTTGCGAAATTCAACAAGAAAAATGTAAGTATACAATATTGTCTCTCTAAAGCCGTATCTCTCTGGCTGCCTTTTGCTGGCTCGTTCCAAATTGATCAGCGAGACCAGAGCACCTCACGCCGGGGCGAAGGCTTACTTGATCCCGGCTACAATTGAGAGACACAGAATCGGTTTGGCTCCAGCTGCAGCCTTTGAGCTGCACTCAGCTCTGCCAGCTCACATTTGAACCTGTCAGACTTGTCTCTCCGTTTCTTCTGTAGACCTAATCTAAGCTCCGTCTCTCAGCTCATGAAATGATTTTTCAGAGTCAGAGAATCTGACATTGGGAAGGTAATAAAGATTTTTTTTTTTTTGATGACGTCAAATAGGCTTCTGCGTCAATCATTTGTTGGTACATACAATTTAAAAAATAATCCAAATAACTGACACATTTGAATGTTTTTTGTTTTTTGTCGACAAGCCCAAACAACGCAAGTGTGATTTGGCTTTTGAATAAAACAAAATGATTTAAAGCTGACAGGAAAAAAGGTATCTTCATAAATTGCTCAGGTTCGCTTGCGGGAACAAACCTGCCCAACAATGAATGGAAACCTTTCTCAGTGTCCTCATGCACTCTTTAACATCCTGCATGGTGCATATCACTTCCAATTCACAGGTGGAATTAGATGGAGGGTTGCCGGGGTGACGCGTTATGGCGAGTGCTTAGCACGTGTTGGCAGTGTCCAGGGAGGGCCGGGAGCAGAGAAACACCAATGATTTGAAAAGGCAACGGGTGTCATTTTGGTCCTGTTGGTGACTGGGAGCATGAAAGTAACATGTGGAACTTTCCCATGTGTGGCTTTAATAACGTGGACCCAAATACAAAGAAGAAGAAGAGGAGGGCCGGGGCAATTAGAAAAAGAGTGAAACATGTTAGCGTGAGACCGGTTCACCTCTTTACTCTAACGCTAACGTCTCGTACTCCTCATTCATCAGGAGTGGTTTCTTGGGAAGCCCCTCCACGACGAGGAGTCCACCATCATTCATCACTACGCCTTCGCAGAGAATCCCTCTATCTTTAAATATCCAGACTTTGCTGCCGCTTGGGCCGTAAGCACGCCGCTTGTTGTGCGGTGAGTTGTGCGCTAAATTCTGTGTTGTGCCGCTAAAATGTATTCACTCCGTTTCAATCACGGCAGGAATATTCAACACATTACAATATATATGTGTATGCATTTTCTGTTTACACTAAAATTCTGTGATTTGTTATTCTAGGCTTGCAAACAAGGTGAAAAATGAGCCGCTTAAATCTGACTTCACCATCGACCTGAAACATGAGGTGAGGAAACAAGCTTTACGAGTCCCACTGTCAACCTCAGACCTGTTGTGTTTGGAAAGTGATGATCAAGCGGCCTGTTTCTCACACTCAAGCCAGCGGCCACCGACTATAATCTATTTGCACAAAAAGAGCGAGGCATGAAATTTTTCCAACCTTGAAGTGAAATCATATTATTTCGGAGAATTGTCATGGTGCAGCATTCAGGTTCTTATTTTTATCACTGAAATGCAGTCAGGGAGGCATCTATGGGGTTTTTGTTGCATAAACACAGCATCAGACTTATCAGGCTCAGTCTGGAAAATGTGGTTTGGTTAGAGATGGCATGAGTTCAGTCCAAGAGATTCAATTATATATGGCACTGTGTATTCGCTATATTTAAAAAACAAAGATGGCATGGGTAATTTTTTTAATGGAATTGAGGAATGTTAAATTCTATTTAATTGTTTTAGAATAACATTAAGTTATCATTTTGCAGATAATTGTGCGTTTACATACCACAATGCAAATCAGCCCTACGCAAATGCAACCTAATGCAAGTAGCGATAAAGATCACTGTATGCACAGTAGAGAGAGTACAGACAAATATTGCATGAACCCTCAATGTCAATCTAGTTCAGTGTGAGTAGATTACCTCCGGGCTACAAGTCAGAGAAACATCAGGGATTTCTAGTCTCTTCCAAACAGTTGCCAAAATTCAGACAGCCCTAATTTTACTGTCCTCATTACGCATGTTTTTACTGTAACATCTGGAAAAGTTTGACAAAATCCAAGATATGACTTTGCTCTACAGTAACACTCTCCATACCTCATTTTCTCCCTCTCTGGTATCCCCTCATGTGTTTTGTTAGGCATCTTAAATATTGTATTTGGTGAGAAAGAAAATGTTGTCGTACTTAATAGAAAAAAAGGAACCAAAAACACAACACTTATGCTGCAATTACTGCTTATAATCAAGCATTTTCTCAGGCATCATTGCATCTGGTCTTCAGATCAAATCTCCGTCCTGTGTTACAGGTCGCTTTGTACATCTGGGACAACGGGAACGGCCCTCCCCTCACCGCCGTCCCTGAGCTGTGCACTGAGCCGGAGGACTCCCACGAGACCCGCCACTGTGCCACCACTCTGAGGACCGAGCCGGCTCTGTGTGTGAGTACGGCATCTGCTCCGTGGGCAGATCCATTAGATCGTCCTCTATTCCCAGGAGATGGTCAGGCAACAGAGTTAAGTAGTATGAAGCAGAGAGGGCGCTTCGCTGGGAGATGCTGCCGGCTCCGTGTTGACGTTCGATATTCCGCCACGCTCACGGCCGCAAACGGAGCAGCACCCATAATTCACCACGCGCCGCGGCCTTGGACGCGATTGCCTCTGAACACCATTCAGCAGATCATTTGAGCAAAGACGGGAGTTTTTGCCATGCTTGCATGTTACATTTAGTCATAAATACCAACCATTCCCCAAGAAGTACACTCCCCCGTCTTTCAACAGAGTTACAAAATAATTTTTTAAATGTATCTTGGATATTTATGTACTATTCGACATTCAAATACTGACATTGTGCCATCTGATACTAACATTAGTAGTAGTTCTAACAGGGTTTTCTTGTGATGAATTTAGAGTTAAGCACACAAATATAATATTTTAATTGGGTTATTTAAATATTTGATAATCGGGTCAAAGTACCGACAACTGTACAAATGAACAAATTTAGTCTAATTGAATCAAATTGTCTGGCAATTTGCATTAATTGTAAAACCAAAGAAAATTGTGTTACAGCACAGTATGTTATTGCGGTATGCTTTGGCACATTGCACTCAATATATGTTGTCAGTATTATGTGTTCCCTAGCTGTGAGCCAATTAGAAGGGTCAGCCATCTGTTAGCCACCAGTTGTTGATCCCACAGGCGCCCTAAAACAATCAATAATGTTGAGAAGAAGCTGTGTGTGCAGTGATGGCTGCTTGCCTGTACAGTGCCAGGACTGCAGCACAAAGTATCCCAAAGTTGTCCCCCCTTCATTCATTGTTCTGCCAAGAATATGATCTTCTCATTTGTGATTCAAACCACATTCTGCATGCGCATATGCGGTTTAGAGCCTGATGCATATTTGTTGCAGTCTGAATTTTCCGATTTATATTGATTCTTTTTTTAACTACTTTTTTTTACATGGAAATCATTATTCTCATAAAACTGCCTTCATTTGACCAGCGAGGGGACAAAGGCTTGAGCAGCCAGTGGGAGAATCATCAAGGTCACAAGCTTGATAAGCATGCAGGGAGAGGTTTTTCCAACCACACCGAACAAGAGGCGATGTGTCGTAATCGACCAGTGCTGGAAACACTTGTAAGACAAATTGCCACGATGGGCCCAGCGCGGTACTAAAAAACAACAAACCAACAAAGAGTCAAGAGCCTCAAGAGGCAGATTCAAGGAGGCAAAGGACAACAATCAACCTAGTGGCATCGGCAGCAGAACGCGTGCTTTTTATATTTCATGCAATGAAGTTGAAGTGGTGCTGCTGCTTTCTGCATTTCAGCAAAGAGGCACACGTTTGTATTGGAGATGAGTCCTTCTATAAAAACGCTTGGTAAAAACAGACAAAAGAGCCTGCTAACACACTCACACCTTCCTGTACGTCTGACGGTCCTCAGGGTTCTGTAAGAACAACATTTGTAAATTCTCAAATGTGTTGCTCTAAAACTGCCGCAGGTGTAGTGGAGAAATAACATTTGCAAAGATTGTGAAAAGAAACTTTTGTTTTGGACCGCGTGTGGTAACAACGAGCTCAGAGATACACACAGAGACACACAACCTGTTTCAGTTTTATACTTTTCCATTTAATCTTTCCCAGTCTCATTTGTTGCTTGTCTTTTTATTCCCAAGGCTTTTACATTTTGGCAAACGGACACCCAATTTAGCATAAAGTCCTAGATTTTTAAAAACGTTCTGCAGTGTTATTAGCTGCTCCATGTCTGTAGTTTCAGAAGGAGAACAAAGACTATCTAGAGTGCCAGATGACCTCAGACCATTTACAGAAACATCCAATTCTAATTTCACTCTGAAGATAACAACTCCCACCGATCCCTCAGACATTTAATATCGCCTGAAAAACCATTTCAACCATTTGGCTCAGTTGCAAATAGAGTGAAATCGATTCCGTTTTTATTAATTTATGATTTATGTTCATGTAAGTATTTCTTTGATTTGTGTCTCCTGTTTTCCTCAAAGGGGGAGCCTGTTAATAAAGAAGATGTGTTTGTGGCTGTGAAAACGTGTAGGAAGTTTCACAATAAAAGAGGTAAGTGCCACTCTTACGGAAACTGCCCAAGATTCACTATTGCATACGATTTGTTTTACTTGACATTTCTTTAGCTCATCATCATCACAAACTCTTCCATTACATTTTTCCACCATTATGTGATGATTTGGTAATTTAGAGGATTCAAAATAAATTGGAAGTGCTTATTTGCAGATGTTATAATCCGTTTATTTGGAATCTCTGCTTGACAATGTGTGAATCTGCTTCTCTTCTATAACCTGATAAAAACACAGCCGGCTCAGTCAACAGATCAAAATGCTGATTAATTTCAGTGGGATCAAACAAATTGTACACTTCATTCAAAGAGTGTCACTCAAACGTAATTGCACTAATTACTTGAATTACTATTTCCTCTGACAAGCTGCCATTATCTGTTTCAAACGTCGACGCGGTCAAATTATTATTGGATTTATGTATTAAAGGTTAGCTTAGATCAAGAAGCAAAAGACATGAAAGAGCCTCGTATTTCCCTTACAATGTCGCTCAGTGTCTCTTCGTTATCTGTAGTGATTGAACACGGTATTATAAAAGCAATTTTATGGACATAAAAACGCATCTATCAAGAATTGTCTATTAAGGAATTTGAGTTGAAATAAAAAGGTCTGATGTGATTGCAGAGTTCTTTCATTTTTATGAATTTATTTAGGTCTGTTCCTGCACATCACACTTATATGTGGGGCAAAAAATACTAAATGAAATAATTAAAAACTTTAAATAGCAAACAGAACAAATCTCTTTTATATAAAAAGTTCTGTGCTTCTGTTTCATTACCGTTTTAATTGTATGTTGTCATGCATTTTGATTAGTATTGTATTGGTGTAGTCTGTAAGTTGTTTTGTTGTAAGACGTTTGTGCTGGCAACCCGTTTTAATGTGTGTTAGTTATCCGTGCCATCTATTAATTGTCTTCTATGGCAGGAAGTCAAACATCTGCTCTGCATGATGTGCACAGTATTTACACTATGTGGCGATATAAAATAGGATTATTTAGAGAAAGCGAAGGCCAGCCGACGCAGCGTTGGATGCCACTCTGATTCTCTTTTGTTGATTCATGAGAGTCGAACGCAGCCTGCAGCGGCTGCGGTGGATCTCTTGGTATTCCGTGTTTCTCGGCCCGCATAAGCATTCGCCTCAACGAGCCAGAAACCCGCCACGAAACCTCCAGATCTGATCAGTCAGGTCCAAATCAAATCTACTGGAATACTGTAGGGGGAAAGGAACTGCTGAGAGTGCTTTGTAAAGGATGTAGAGGTTTTGTGATTTTAACCATTAATAACGCTAATGGGGCATTAAGTGACAAGGATTCAAATGCATTTAAATGTGGATGACTGATCACTGTGTCTGTGTTACCCTGCTCTGTAAATGTTATCTTATCTGGAACGTTCAACAAGGGGGCTGAATTAACGATGCATAGAATATCTTTCATATTTTACTGTATTATTTTCTATTTTCCCTACTTTATCACATGTACAGCCCCAAATATGAAATAATAATGTGTACAGAAGATGTCTGTTTGTTGTGAAACCTGGTGAACACTATTGATTGTTCTCCCCTTGGCTTCAGTTCCAGTGATAAAGAAGACTTGGGAAAAGGATGCTTTCTTTTTAGAGTACTACAGTGACTACGCCGATGCTTCGATACCAACCATTAATTTAGGAGTCCCAAATACCGAAAGAGGTAAGTGGTCCTCTTGCAGGCAATTCATTATGGAGCTTCGATGAATACTCTACTCGATCCTGAGTCTCTGTAGCTTTTTTTTTTACCGCCGCTATAAATAATGGACCGTTGCTATGGATGATTTTTTGATCTCGGTACACAGAGTTCTTTTTCTCAAGAGATGCCAATGAAATCATTTTAAAATCAAAAGCTACATGAAATGTCAAACCGAGGCTGAACTTTTATTTGACATCTTCCCAGTTATGTTGGGATTTCTTCGTTTGTGGTGCTAAGATCTTTTCAAACTATTAAATGACTTCTTCTATGTTTCTCAGAATAATTCTGAGTTGCTAAATGGCTCCGTGCCTTCAGTCTTTAGTGCAAGCAGCTTTTCTCTGACTGTGAGCTATAAACTGCACATTAACTCACCAGAAGCTGGGCCAACATCCCCCCTGCTGAATTGCACTTGACCGCAGCACTGTCAGCATTTAATGACACTTTTGTTTGGTTAGGAGCTGGTGATGAACTGTCCTCTATGGGGCATTTGTGGCTCAGTAGGTGCAGAAGGTCGTCCGCTAATCGGATGGCCGACGAGTCGGTCCGCGGCTCCTCCAGGTGTTGAAGCTCGAATGGCACCCGAAGGCTCAGGCTGGTCAGTTACCGGGTACCTTTGTATCAAAGGACACATATGAGAGCGCTGCACATGTTCTCGTTTAGCTTTACTTCAAAAAAGCCGTTGCCTTCAAATCCACAGAATCCACAAAGTGTTAATATCATATAATAGAATAGGATTTTTATGAAAAAGATTGAGAAACAATGCTAAATATCTACATTCTACATGACTAGAAACAACAGTATTTATCATACAGTATTTTAATTTACGCTGGTTCCAAAGTGAGTGGAAATCGAGAAAACAAAGCCCCGAGGTGGTTCTTCATGTACCTCCACGAGGTGTGGCTGAGAACCTGGAACAGAGATGGAAAAACACTCCCCAGCCGGGAGAGCCTGGTGAATCCATCAGCTACTCCCCAGGGAAATGCTAGATGCCAGAAACCCACACTGAATAATAAACAGAAGCAAGTACGAGAAGCGCAGCCGCTCAAAGCAGTCCAGGGCGGCTCGTAGAGGCGGCGGTAGACCTCTGCGTCTCCCCTGGTGGTTTCTGCTTGAGGGCCATTTTCTGCCATTTTTACAGCACCTTTGCCTTCTCGTGTGGCACCTTAATGAGATGACGCATTGACCGGAGCCACTTTCAGCCCACTGGTGGGATGTTACTGTTCCAAAATGGTGTGGTTGAGTCTCCGGGCTCCCTTCACAGTGTCCGTCTGCAGGCCGCTCAGATATTTATCGGGGGCCGCCTCGTCGTGAGGGAGTGGCTGGTGCAAAGCAATCGCGGCGACCCGCGGACTAGTCCGCTGCAGAGACGAGCCTCGTTAAGAATAAAAGTCGACCCATTTTCTTCCAAAGCTACTCTGTTATCTGTCCAACGTGCTGTTGATATGCAACCCCCGTCCTGGAGGGCCGCTTCCTCTCCACCTTGTTGTTGTGGATCATGACAAGTCTCCGCTGCCTCCTTGTCGGAACTACAGATAGTTCTCAGATTGGAGGCGTACTACTGAATCCCCACTGCAAGCAATCCCATTATACGGTTGTTGGGGATCTTAAATGACAGATAAGAACCACATGTTGGTTGTGTGGCTCCTCATATCTGCTCATTTGCATAACCTGACACGTTACGTAGCGCAGAGCGCTGAGAGGCGGTTGCGGGTTTTATGTCTTACACCAGAAAACGCCTCGGCTCCGCTCCTCTCAACCAAAGAAATGATGTTGCAGAGGTCCTTTCCTCTAGTTTTGCCTCCCTCTGCATGCCAGGAGTTTCACTTTTAAGATGGCAACAATTGAGGGAAGTTTGGCAGCAATCCGAAGTCCGTAATAAGGCGAGGGGATTTATGTCCAGTCTGGTAAGGAGCCAGAGACTGAAGCTACTTTTGGTTTGGTAACTACGCTAACTGTTAATCAAACAATTAGTGCTATTTCCCTCCTGGAATACTAACAGGATGACAGACAGGGGTTTGACTGGTCTATAGAAAAGGGGGAGGATTTTAAAAGGACAGAATTTTGATTAAAAAACGCCATGTCGACGGAAAATCATATTTGTATTACACCATATCTGTGAAAACATATCTGCAATAGAATAGCCATTAACTCACCAGATAACTATGCACTAAAATGATAAATGGCTGAGGTCTAAACAAAGACAAATAAGCAATTTATGTGTTATATTATCACTAATCAGTTATCAGAGTAGAATTGAGTTTTTTCCAGGACCAGGGTTACTGACTTAGTTATTGACTTGGTTTCCTCCATTAAAAAGCCAGGAACCATGGTAAAAAAGTCTCTGGAAGGGAGTCACAAATAGATATGTGGTCTGATAAAAACAAGATTCAAAATTTCAAATTTTGAAAGTGGCAGAATAAACTCAACAGTCTGAGGTTGCAAAGGTTTTATATAGTCAGGACCGAGCAAGTGAGGGTGACGCAAGACCTTGAAATGTGAATACGGCGTAGGAAGTTTAATACTCAGCTTTTCACAGTCAAGTGTGTTATTCTTACCTACAGTGGGAGGAGACCTGGTGATGGAGGACACCTGTGAGGAGCTTTGTACTTAAATAAACGTGGGCTTTTCTCTGCCGACATTGTAATGAACGATGCTGCATCGTTCCATGTGCCTGCACGTCGCTCACTAACCTCCATCTTCAAATACAGATACCATGCTTGTCTGAAAATCTCCCCCTAAAAGTACATTTTGGGGATTTTATTCCTGTCAGCAGTTCAAGGTGTCCTTACTTATTCTATATTCAGACGCTCGGGGGGGGAAATCACAGTGGGTGCCTTATAAATAGTATGGTGTCAGTATGCCTTGTGATGCTTGTCACCATGTCTCAGCCCTGATGGTGTGCAGATATTGGGATGACAGTATCTGTTCGGGCTCCTTGCATTTGTTGTGTGCTACCACATCACTGTTTGTTTTTGGAGAGTTGGCAGAACATTTTGTTCCATCCGGCAGCCATGTCAAACATGCCAGAGTAGAAGTTTGATGACAACCAAACATACCTTATTATACCTTTTGGATGCAAGGAGGTAGTCAACGGCTTCCTCTCGGCTCGCAAAGGTGGAGAGGACACATGTTTGCATTGGGAGATTTTCCTTCATGGTGCGCAATACAGATGTTTAATGTTTGACACGCGTTACATCGCTGCGGTGTGGCATGCGACTGTCAAGTTAATGCTGGAATAGAAGCAACAGTTTAAAATGTACTGCATCCTTTGTTAAGTTTGGGCTCAGTAATCCCGCTCATTTGCATCACATCCTCAATGGCCTCTTTTAAAAGAATGAAAGTGTAATTAAAAATTTTAATTATTTAAAACATTATGATCATCCGCATCTAATGGTTCTGTTTCTCATCAGGCATCTAGTCTGTTATAATGTCTTCTCCAAAGTATAATGTTGCTGTTTTCTTAGTTGCGAAGTGCGACAGTCTCTTGACTCTCAAATCGTTTTGCATTAGTCTAATTCACAAGCGGTATTTGTAATAATATCTGCTCTTGTGTGTGTTATTTTTCTTACCGCGACAGCGTCAATTCTCTTTGTAAAGCCGAACACAGCACATGGTCAATATGTGATTAGGTCAGCGTATTGACGGCATTTGTCCACTTTTGCAGGCCACTGTGGGAAAACCTTTGCAATCCTCCAACGGTTTGTAAGCGGAGCCGTCCCAGAGACCAAGTGGCTCCTTGTCGTGGATGATGACACGCTTATCAGGTATATTTTCTCTTACCTGGAATTGCTTTTTCAACATGACGTTTCTTCACCTTTTTTTTTTCTTTTTCTTTTTTTTACCGGGACATTCATTTTTCTCAAAGTTTGAGTGACATTTTCTTACACCTTTTGTAACAGATTCTGTTTCACAGTCATGAAAAGGTTTTGCACAGAAAAAGAGAGAAACGAGTCATTTTGGGAAATTTAAAGTTCTGGAGATACTACCACCCTGTCACGAAAAACTCGTTGCATAATTCAGTAAGTCAGGTTGGCTACACTTTTTTTAATCTGTCAGGTCGTCCCCTCACGAGGAAGCCTGCGGCTGTGTAATAGGGCCGGAGGGAGGGCAGTTCTTTCACCTTCTAAATGGACAGTTTCACACGTGTGTGTGTGTGTGTATAATGATTACAGCATGGGATAAGTTTTATCTGTGCTTCCTCCAGTCTCTCCCGACTTCAAGGCTTGCTGAGCTGTTACGACCCCTCTGAACCAGTGTGTCTAGGGGAGCGGTACGGCTACGGACTGAGCCAAGGCGGCTACAGCTACATCACGGGAGGTGGAGGGTGAGTTTCTCCGCTCAGATGCTCGGGGGAGTAATGATAAAAGACACAACGTCAGTGTGAGAGAATATAAATTATGTAATGGAAAACCTGTAATCTGTAATTCACCGATAAACCGTTTCAATTCAGTTAAAGTGTGTTGCTCCCTCAGGGGAAATGTTGGTTTGCTGGCTGCATTAAAGAAAAAATACTCAATAAAATATGTAATAAATCCCCGCAAAATACCGAAAAACGGTCGAAAAGACCCGACAGGGAGTCAATGCTTAATTCTCACACTACATTATACAAACGTTCGATGACTGCACTACATACAGGGCAACAGCAAATCCTAAACACCCATATCTTCTCATTGAATTCAAAGAAAAAGTGGGCAATGAGCTCAAGTTACGTGTCAGCAGTCAGTGCAGGAGGTGTGAGTGAGCCGTGTGAGAAACCCTATTTACAGAGGCTGCGACACTCTACAGCATCGCGACTGACAGTTTTCTCAAAAGTGACATCTTCTAATAACTGTTTTGAGTGGCGGTGAGTGATTTTCTTTTGGCAGCCCAAGATTTGTTTTCGTCTTTTTTTCATGTGGAATTGCGTCTCTTTTCAAAGAGATGTCACGCCATTGTTGCGCGGAGCCGATTCAAAGAAAGAAAACCTGACTCCCTCTCGTCTTGAGCTGCAGTTTCACCCACTGAACACAATGAGCACGCTGAAGGATATGCTTAATATTTTGCTGCTCTGTTCACCGGCCATTTACAGCGCTGCTAAATCAGCAGACGCACGTATCCACTTTGTCATCGGCGGTGTCGATCTCTGTGCCGCTGCAGGATGGTGTTCAGCAGGGAGGCTGTGGTGCGACTGCTCGACAGCGGATGCAAGTGCTACAGCAACGACGCGCCGGATGACATGGTGCTGGGAATGTGCCTCAATGCCCTCGAACTCCCCGTCACACACAGCCCCCTCTTCCACCAGGTGGTCTTCCCGCTCTTACGATACGTCCTTTGTTTCTCTACGTGCTCTATCTGTGTGTATTTGTACCTCTGGGGTTGTGAATGCTTGGGCAATATGGTAATCATCTTCTGTTCATAGCCTGTTTGGTGTCAAAGGACGTTTTGCAGAAGATTTGTGATGTTTTAAGAAAAAAAGATAAATAAACCCCAGAGAAAGTCAGGTTTCATCACATCCTGAGACATTCACACCTCTATGGTATTGAGGCTCAACAACAAAACCGGCGGGTATTCGGAAGCCCTCACGGATGTTTTCAGCTTCTCCAGCTGATTCGATCTCCGATCATGCAGCGTTGGAGTCATGTCTCAGACGGGTTTACAGTGCTTGTAATTTGAACTTGGAGATATCGGCAATATCTGACAGGCAGCGTATCTTCCATCTCGCAAAACAGAATAGAGAATGACGGCAAAGCTTCCCATTCAGCTGACACAATGTAACTGCAGGACTGTGTCACACTCAAGTCACACGGGGGGCACGGTAAAGATGGAGAAGATTCCCAGGGGTATAACTTTGCACATTATTGGACGACTCGAGGCGGTTTCAGGGTAGGTTTTGTGAAGGTTAAAAACACTCTGCGATGATATCATAGCACTTATATCAATTCCATTTTTTTTTTTAATTACTTTAAATGATGGATCCGAGTGGGCATAAATATGTTAACCTCTTCAAGAAACACTGGTGTGTTGGATCTGAGCTTTTAGAACGATCACAGCAGACGTTTTAACTTCATCATTGCAGGAAAAGCACATGATTTTATTATTAACCACTCTGGTGCTTTTCCTTCTATAACCGGTCAGACTGAGTTACACAGTCTGGCCTTAGAAGCAGAGATGAGAGAAATCACTGCGAGTGTGCAGGACCTGTAATACGGTACCAGATGGATTAATATGTTGACAAATCAATAACGTCAATGTGAAAGAGAACCTTTCAAAATGTCGTAGTGGTGTAAATCCAGGTGTAATTCATCAAATGGATTAATCCCCTTTACTTGGTGTGTCACAGGCATTCCAGTGAACCAAAGGGCAAAACTAATGTCATTTGTTACACCTGTGTTTACCCTTCAATGACGGCAAAATGGCTGCCGGGAAAAGGGCTTACTGTTGCAACCCTTTGATACGGTTCTTTGTTTTCGGTTGAATTCTGTCTCGCAACACACAATAGTTTCAGTCGCTCCATTTTCATCATAAACTTCTACATCCACGGCGTCACTGTCGCTCTCTGCAGCACTTGTACGCCGTCTCTTGTGGCGGCTTCCAAGTAATAAATGGCTGTACTTAATCTTACCTTTCAGGCACGCCCGGAGGACTATGCCAGAGACTTCTTAGCACATCAGGTGCCCATCTCCTTCCATAAACACTGGAACATCGACCCCGTCGCTGTTTACAACAAATGGCTTAAAGGGGACTTGCAGGCGAAAGCTTCGGATGGACTTAAGACGGACGCTAAGACAGAGTTATAATCGGCACACTCATACAGCGCGCCCATATGAGTGTGCATGTATGAAGAGTCTGTGTGTGTGTGTGTGTGTGTGTGTGTGTGTGTGTGTGTGTGTGTGTGTGTGTGTGTGTGTGTATTCTAGAGTCATGGAACTGAAACCATTTCCTTCACAGATATCAATGTTTTTGTATTGTTGGTGTTGAAGTGTTTTAAAGGGAGACCGTGACTTAATCGGTAAGTGTCTTCATGGAATGAGATGCATGTTGGTTGGATGTTGGTTTGGAATTATAAATATAATAAGTGTATATTTATATCATATGATTAATTTGAATCTTACAAAGGAGAATTTTCTTCTCTGGGAGATAAAAAAAAGGGTCTAATGCTGTACAGGGGGCTCTATTTTGCCATAAAGATATAGAACTGAGACTGAATTGTTTTGTTATGCTTTTCTATTTGTTTGGAGGCTTATTACAGGATTTAGTTTAAATGTATAAATTAAAAGGTTCATTGGAGCCACAACTGAGATAGTGAAAGATGAACTGTTTTAGAGCAGCTTAAAGGCATTAAAGCTTTCTGAAGGAGGCTGAAGGTTTGTGATTATTCCCAACATGTCGCCTTTAAGTGCTGCTACCTTCGACACTCAAACACCCTCATTACATTTTTGGCCTTAGACCATCTGTTTCTCGTGGCTCTTTGACAGTTATAGGAACTAAAAAGGAGCATAATTTCCAAGACATAATTGCTTGCTAAACTTAAATGAACTTTTTTTGTTTTTCACTTCTTCTTTTTCCAAATGTCTCAAATAATCATTTGGCAGAACCAAAGAGTTGCTAAACATTTATAAAGGTCTTTGAAAGACTTAAGAATTGAAACCTGTTTGCTGGCTGTTTGCCTTGTTGAAAAAATGTGCGGTTATTAAGCTTCAAAAAACGAAACAAATGAATTTGGCTGCTTCCTAATGTTGGCAAAAGCTTTAGAAAACCTGAGGAGCAGAATCACAAACATGATAGTGGGTCATTTTACAGTTGGTCCATGTTCTCAGGCTTAATTAAACTTATGAACATGTGTAATGTTATTGTTGAAAAACGCATTACTGTCAGTTTCTCTGCAACATCAACGCCGTGATACAGAAGATGTGTCTCTACTTGTTGCCCCTCAGTATTGTGATGCTTAATTCACACTTAATAGCACAGTAGACCGGTGCAAGTTCATGGAAAATCGATTAGGTTTTGTGTGTTTGAAGCTTTGCAATAAGTCAATTAGACATCTCCTCGCACCCAGGAATTGTGACTGGTTTGCAGGAAACCAGTTTAAAGGGGTGGGACTCGCCCACAGTGAAGTGGAGTGATGAGTGGTGCTGCGATAGCACTTTGCACCGAGGGAAATCCTCTGTGTGATTTTCGCTAGGTTCGGATAACATGCTGGCTCTGCCGCTATTTCCAGCATGTCAGCAACAACATCCTGGTCACTGGAATTTTAGGCCTTAATCCTTGTCCAAAACAAGAAACAGAAACTGTAAGATGAGAGAAGTGCTGTATTTCCTCCCAGAGACATGTGTATTTACTTTTCAGCTGGGAGGCAACGTTTTTTTTAGGAGTACTGAGGCTTTGCACTCCATCCCACACATTAAATATACATTGGATTTTTACCAGCTTGATTATATTCCCCTACCTAAAAGTATACTTGCTGTTGTTGCACGGCCTCTCCACACTGCCATGGGAAATACTATACCTTTTTCTTTTGTTGGCCTAATTATATATTCTTACAGAAGAGAAAACGTAGTTCTTCACAGAAGCAAAGACACAACTTTGGTGTCCTGGGGAGTAAAGAGCAGCACAGTCTACTGATGCATTAAAACACCAGCTATGCAGCTAGGAATGTGGCTTTGATGATCATTTTAGTTACTGCAGGGATTTTAATGTGCTTAAAGAAACACCATAGTTGATTGCATTACCTAATTAATCTGTGCCACAATATTGCTCTGAACTGTCTCTTGTAAACATGTTTTTTTCTCTTCCTCGTCTCATCCAACTAAACTTGTTTCATCCGGAGGCAAAATCCTGTATGGATCTTTGAGGATTAATTTAAAAATATTTTTTTTCCCGGTGTAGATTCACTCGCAGGGCCAAAAGGCCTCCTCACGTCCCTCTAGGTGTCATGCAGACACTGTGTTCTTGTTTTGTCCAGGTCTTAAGATTCGGCATCTGAGATTCCTTCTGCCAAATCAATAGTCCTTGTTAAAACTGGATTGTATGTTTAGTTATTTTTGGAGAAACAACCTTTAATCATTTCTGATTTGATCTTATTTTATCATTTATTGCTCCCTTTGACGCAGTTAACTAGTTTGGAAATGAATTCCACGGAAAGCTCACTGCGTATACACGTATGCCTTGTTTGCTTTATTCTAACTATAGCTTTGGGGTTCACACGGCTGGATTATTGAGCTTTATTTAAATACAAGCTGGCTGGAAAGCAGTTGGGAGATATATCAAATTTTCTGTTTGAACACGACTGGTTTTTCCTCCGAGGACTCACTGTGACCAGCGGGCCCCTCATCAATGGAGTAAATGAGAAGAGCTGCCGCAGTCGGTGCCATCTTTATCTCTAATACAGCTTTAATCATCACTCAGAGATCACACTTGTTGCAACTTTGTGATCTCAGTCGTTGCCAATCTCCTTTCCATCCCTTCAGGGGGGCAACAGTTAGCGAGAAGATGTCTTTAACAAAGCAATTGTAAGAAACGGGGGAAGAAACCTTATTCCCCGCAGTTGCATCAAGGAAATTCATTCGGTAACAGTGAAGCCTGGTTAATTATACGCTATGCAATATGATTTCTGTTGTGATATTTTAGCGTCAGTTGACTCTCTTGGGACTGAAATTGTTGATCTGTTAGTTGTCCTACCTCATGGTATCCGACGAATGGCCATGACATTTTGTAAAAATGTCTTTGACGATGCCCTCACACCTGCGAATGAGGACATTCGCTGCAGCTTCAGTGGTATTGCGTTTTAGTACAACTCATCACATGTTGGCCAAACTCAAATGAGCTCATTAAACACAGATTTTTAACATTATTCATTTAAAAGTTGTTCCTCAGCTGAAGGCATCACTTTACTGGTATTGAATAAGAAAATCATTATAATGAATGTTGACAGGGTTGTTTGAACTGCTTCTTTTCATGTATATATACAGTTCAGAAGTGTCCTGTAACGATAATATAATTGCCTGCATAATTCAGCCCCACAGAATGAAGTTGGTTAAATTAGAATACTGATTTTGAGAGGGGTGAGTGTAAACTTTTGCAGATGCGCCGGTAAATAGCTGGGTTGCATTTTAAAACCACGCTTCCAAGGACATGTGTTGAAAGTCAAAACGCCGCCAGACGCACCAGATTGGTTTCAAGTTAATATTAAAATAAATGGTGTGATGTCAGTGTCAGCCTAGTGATCGAGATCAAGATATCTCTGAATACTCCCCCTCCACCAGCTTGCCACCGAAAGATTAGCACAAATAAATATTGTCAATACAGGACATTTTGTCCTGGAAATGTACCCCATGAAAACAGCAGTGCAGAATAAAAGCACACGTATCATACAAAAATGGCAGTTAATGACACGCCACTGTACCTGGTTTGCCTTTCATTTTATCTTAGTTTAATTAGTTTACTTTTGCAAATTCCCATTATGCTTTGCAGCTCAGATTCAGGTTTATCTGCCTAGTAGGTTTTTACAAACCAATATCATGCAACCGATAAATGCACAGGACTAGTGGACAGCTGTTCACATTCGCCACTCACCTGTGGGTCAAGGCAATAATTGGGAACATGAGCCGGGCATCTGCCTTCCTGCTCCAATTTGAACCTTACACCGAAAACAAATCAATGTCTTTGCAAAACGTTTACACCCTGCACCACTATCCCCTAAACTGCATATTCCGATAGCAGCGTGCAAGTTACGGATTATAAATGCACATGAATTCAGCCATTTGACGCAACGGACTGCATCCACAGGCTCGTTTAACTGAATGCAACGCCCGAGCTGTCCAACCATCCTCATCAATACTAAGAGTTTGAATGCATCATAATAAAAACAGACCATCACTGACCCACCAGCACAGCGGTCATGCTGAACCATCTTGCAGGCAGCATAGCGTTCTCTTTGGCTTCTGCACAGCTGCTCAGGGTGAACCTGCTCTAATCTGTGAAAGGCACAGGGTGCCAGTGGCGGACGTGCCAACTCTGGTGTTCTATAGCGAATGCCAATGGAGCTCCACGGTGCCGGGCAGGGATACAGGACATCGCGCCCTGAGGCCGGCCTCAGGAAGTCTGCTTCTGATTGTTTGGGCAGAGACACTCACACCGGTGGCCTGCTGGAGGTCCTTCAGTGGGGCTCGGGCAGCGCTCAACCGGTTCCTCCTGGCACAAAGCAGCAGACGTCGGTCCTGCTGATGGTTTGAGGACCATCTACGGCCCTGTCCAGCTCTCCTAAAGTAATTGCCTGTCCCCTGGAGTCTCGGCCACGTTGTGGAGATTGTGAGACACATCAAATTAGGTCGACACGAGTGGATGTGCCATCCTGGAGAAGTTGGACAATCTGTCAAAGAAATCGCCTCATGAAATTGGCCTCCACATATAAAACCAGTCCTGTTTTTGGGCGTCGTCTCATTGTCTCATTGTCAGCTGTTGTTAATTCCATCAACATCCCCTCTGCTACTTACCTGAACAGATCAGAGAAGTGCAATTGAATTCATGCCCCTCCCTAATAAAAGATTGTCCCTTTAATTATTTTGAGCAGTCTAGATACAGTACCATACTATATAAGCATTACCATATAATTCTAGCACTGGGCCGCCTGGGCTGAGTTGTTTTTGTGAGCAAAAACACAACACTGATAACAACTCGCCATAAATAAGTAATAGCAACTAAGGAGAGGGTAGAATAGGAATGTGAGGCAGAGTGTTTTTCCGCAGTGGAGACCGAGACATTATTCTAATCACTTTTATTGGCATGGGAACAACAGAGTTTTTGTATCTGTTCAGGGAGCAGAGTGAGACACTGATGGGAAGAGAGGGTTTTAGTTGTCCAAGATATAAGTGGAAACTGCTGATATATACGCTCATATATATTTGTTTTCTTGTGCTATCACATTTTAATATAGATGACAACACATTGAGAGAGGGGGGAAGAAATATTTAAATTGGAATAAATCACAAAAACACACCATTTACATTTGAAAAATAAAAAAATGTCAGTGTCTCTACTTGTTTGTTCCTTTAAAAAGCTGTACATTGATACAGCTGGTGGTGTAAAGAGCAACAAGGATTTTGGGGCTGACAAGAGCCCAGCGGCTGTGGGCTCTGATATTAACCATAACGAGCTTACGTGTGGGACAAATGAGTTGGAGCACCTCATTACCGGAGCTTCCACCTCATGGCTTCCGACACCGTATGAGCCGCACGTAAAGGGGTGTGACGGGGGGGGGGGGAAGGGTTCACCGCTGTCACGGAGGAGGACTTACGCTGTGGTTTCACCTCAGCAGGATAAATGGCTTCTTTTCCTGCAGTTTAACGACTATAACGTGTGTC